CCAATCAATAGAAAAAGAGGGAATCCTCCCTAACTCATTTTATGAGGCCAACATCATCCCTGATACCAAAGCCTGGCAGAGACACAACAAAAAAAGGAGAATTTTAGACCAATATCCCTGATGAACATCGATGCAAAAATCCTCAATAAAATACTGGCAAACCGGATTCAGCCAACATCAAAAAGCTTATCCACCATGATCAAAGTGGCTTCATCCCTGGGATGCAAGGCTGGTTCAACATTCGCAAATCAATAAACTAATCGCCAGATATAAACAGAACCAAAGACAAGAACCAGCATGTAATCTCAATAGATGCAGAAAAGGCTTTTGACAATTCAACAGCCCTTCATGTCTAAAAACGCTCAATAAATTCGGTATTGATGGAACGTACCTCAAAATCATAAGAGCTATTTATGACAAACCCACAGCCAATATCATACTGAATGGGCAAAAACTGGAAAAATTCCCTTTGAAAACTGGCACAAGACAGGGATGCCCTCTCTCACCACCCTATTCAACAAGTGTTGGAAGTTCTGGCTAGGGCAATTTAGGCAAGAGAGAAAGAAATCAAGGGGATTCAGTTAGGAAAAGAAGAGCAATTGTCCCTGTTTGCCAGATGACATGATGTATATTTTAAAAACCCCATTGTCTCAGGCCAAATCTCCTTAAGCTGATAGCAACTTCAGCAAAGTCTCAGGATACAAAATTAATGTGCAAAAATCACAAGCATGTCTTGTACACCAGTAACAGGACAAACAGAGAGGCCAAATCAGGAATGAACTCCATTCACAATTGCTTCCAAGAGAATAAAATACCTAGGAATCCAACTTCAAGGATGTAAAGGACCCTTCAAGGAGAACTACAAACCACTGCTCAGTGAAATAAAAGAGGACACAAACAAATGGAAGAACATACCATGCTCCATGGATAGGAAGAATCAATATCGTGAAAATGGCCATACTGCCCAAGGTAATTTATAGATTCAATGCCATCCCCATCAAGCTACCATGAGTTTCTTCACAGAATTGGAAAAAACTGCTTTAAAGTTCATATGGAACCAAAAACAGAGGCCCGCATCTCCAAGACAATCCTAAGTCAAAATGCAGTCCTGTGATGCTTGCACTATACTGGAGTAACCATAAACTACAGATGGACGCGGTATAGCATGTCAAAAGCAGGAAATGAACCTCAGAGTCCTGAAGATAAACCAACACACTAGCAGCCATTGATCTTTGACAAACCTGAAGAGAAACAAGAAAATGGGAAAGGATTCCCTATTTATAAATGGTGCTGGGAAAATGGCTAGCCATAAGTAGAAAGCTGGAAACTGGATCCTTTCCTTACTCCTTATACGAAAATTATTCGAAGATGGATTAGAGACTTTAAATGTTAGACCTAATACCATAAAATCCTAGAGGAAAACCTGTAGTAGTACCATTCAGAGCATAACATGGCAAAGACTTCATGTCTAAACACCAAAAGCACGGCAGCAAAAGCCAAAATTGACAAATGGATCTCATTAAACAAAGAGCTTCTGCACAGCAAAAGAAACTACCATCAGAGTGAACAGGCAACCTACAGAATGGGCGAAAATTTTTGCAATCTACTCATCTGACAAAGGCTAATATACAGAACCTAGAAAGAACTCAAACAAAATTACCGAAAAAGAACAAACAACCCCCATCAAAAGTTGGCAAAGGATCATGAGACAGAACTTTTCTCAAAAAGAAGGACATTCCATATAGCCAAACAGCACACATGGAAAAAATAATTTTGATTCTTGTTTTCAACAGGTTATAGGAATTTAAATAGACATAACATATATATGTCTCTATTGCATTTTACTTATTTGGGACTCATTGTTTTAGTTTAGAGAGTTTATTTGAATCATCTTGATCTGCTACTCACAGTATGTGTCTCTCCAGTTCTTGCATAATCTAAAATTTGATTTTTAAGCTTTGGTTCAAATTAATTGTTTAAAAAACATAGTAGGGTTAAGTGCTGTGGTATGCTGTTAGAGGAGTGTCTTCAGTTATAATCTATACTCTGTGCATGCAGTTTATTCATCCACCCTGAAACTCATGTGGGAGAAGGAGCATCATATATTGGCCACTAGCTGGGAATATAAATTCCCTACTATTGAACAGTACCTCAACCTTATAAGAGGAGGTCTACCAGTTAGAACTATAAGTACTGAGTGATCAAACAACACCCACTTCTGCTTTTAGTTTTCACTTGATCCTAGTTTTATTTATACTATGGCTACTTGATGGAGTATTGTTGTGCATACTTAAATTTATATAGCACCTCATTCAAATGAGTAGTTCTGGATATGCACTTACTTGGTGTCCTACAATCAGGCAGACACAGTTTATGGCAGGGTTAAATAACATATGTAAATTTTTATTTTCTATAGAGAATAATGTTTACTTGACAAGAAAGATATGACTTTGTTCTATACCCTCCTTTTTGATTTTCTAATTAGAGTAGGCTACAGACTCCATATAATATTCTGATCAACTCCAAGCACATTGGATCTTCCTGATAATGATATCCAAAGGACAGAGCTTCTTATTTCCCAACTTAGACCAGCTGGAGATCTTTATATACTACTCCGGCCCCTTCTCAAAGTGTACAGCCTTATGATTTACTTGAAATATGCTTCCAAGTGATAAACCAAATGGTAATATGTTGTCTCCAGAATTCACAAAGGCCTATCAAGCATTATATCTTTTTCTTAGTGATAGTAAATACATACTAAAGCAACTTGTTTTTTCACTTTAGAGGGAGTATTTCTACATGCATTAGACCCACAAACTTCTGAAGAATCCAGGGCTCTACCTAACGAGTGTCAGGGGCAGTGTTGATCCTTCCAGAAAATAACTACTTCTAGAACAAGAGAACTGTGTAATTGGAAACATACCTAATTAACTTCATAATAATTCACGGCTCTTCTCCAAGTTTCTCCTATCTTCTGCACAGTTAATGTAGGGAAATTAATTAGGAAAATGCTAAGAATTTCTACCCATTTCATTCATATTTCAACACTAATGTGGCACTAAGGTTTGTGAATCCTCTAGGTAAACATATAGGTCAAAATACCTTTGGGAATGCTACATTTACAGGAATAATTCCCTAAACCACTGGGCAACCAAGGTAGCTGCTACTTCTATTGTGATTAAAAGAACCTGCATAGGCCCTGCGCGGTGGCTCACGCCTGTAATCCCAGCACTTTGGGAGGCCGAGGCGGGCGGATCACGAGGTTAGGAGATTGAGACCATCCTGGCTAACATGGTGAAACCCCGTCTCTACTAAAAATACAAAAAATTAGCCGGGTGTGGTTGCCGGCGCTTATAGTCTCAGCTACATTGGGAGGCTGAGGCAGGAGAATGGCGTGAACCCGGGAGGCGGAGCTTGCAGTGAGCGGTGGTCGCGCCACTGCACTCCAGCCTGGGCGACAGAGCAAGACTCCGTCTCAGAATAATAATAATAATAACCTATATAATTAGGTAACTCTGAAACAGCTGTGGGATGAGCCAGAACTCTGACACCTTAGCTGCTATCTGTAGCAACAAAATATGTGCCCTGTACTGTACCTACTTCTTTTCCTTGGTAGTGCATTTCTAAATCAAGGGCTCAGATGAGTACTTTTAATTGGCAGAACTCACATCCAAAATCCTAACTGCAGAGTAATCTGGGAAGAATTACTTCTAGTTCCCCAGCTTCTGAAATACAGAAAGATGTGAAAGAAAAGATTATCATGTGCGTTGAGTGTGTCCTCCCATGATTTGGTCCACAGTAGCCTCACGTATAATATTGTTGTCAGTCTTGGTTTCCATGTCAGCCTTTCGAAAAAATTCCACTGTATTTACAAAAGGGTAAGTGTCAATTAAAATATAAGGAAGAATAGAGATTGTTTTAATAATATTCATGTAATTTTGAACCACATTAATGGTTATGTAGTCTTTGTATGAACTTCAGTCATGTCGGGGAGAAACAGTTCAAAGATATACTATGGAATAGCTCTTTATGATGAAATTCTCTTCTCAACAATCTTCTCCAATAGGATTATATTAACTCTGGAAAAATATATTTTACTTATAGTATTTAACTTTTCAAGGTTCAGTGAACTAAATTCATGTTATGTAGCCATGAATGCTCTTGTATTGTCATCCTAAATTATAACATTTCACTTATTGAGCACTCACTAGGTGCCTGTCACTATGGTAAGCATTTTCACTATCTAACTTAATAGACGTTTCTCTTCAACTCTATAATCCAGGGATCCCCAGCCACCAGGCCGCGGACCAGTACTGGTCCATGGCCTGTTAGAAACCAGGCCACATAGCAGAAAGTGAGCAGCAGGGGAGCTAGCGGTACCTCCTGAGCTTCCCCTCCTGTCAGGAGCTTCCCCTCCTGTCAGATCAGAATCTAATGTGGCATTAGATTCTCATAGGAGTGCAAACCCTATTGTGAACTGTGCATGTGAGGGATCTAGGTTGCACACTCCTTATGAGAATCTTGTGAGTGATAATCTGACATGGAACAGTTTCATCTCAAAACGATCCACCCTGCCCCCCTTCCATGGAAAAATTGTCTTCCACAAAACTGGTCCCTGGTACCAAAAAGGATGATAGATGACCTATCTATCATTTATCTAGCTAATCTATCTAAAAGGTAAGAGCTTAAATATCTTGATTTATCATCTCCTTTATTCATTTTGTGTATAGCCTATTATCTAAACTATTATCTTTTGCTACTTCAACTAAAGCTTCCATTTTAGCACCCTGTTTCATGTTTCAAAATATTAACTGCTATAGAAAATCTTAGAGCCTATAATATTATAATTTGTGTACTTTATGATTGTGCTTGAGACTGACCCAGAATTACGTTGATACTTTTTATACTCCTCACAGCATTTAGCTCAGTAGTAACGTCTTAGCAAATACATTTTGATTTGACTTGATGGAATACAGAAACTTACTCATTTTTATCTTTAGTTTCAGGTGCAGCGTTATGTCTCTCAGAGTCTGGTAACCCTGGGAAGCTGCCGCTTGTTGAGAAAATCTATTATATCTCTGCTTCTATCAGAAGTAAATGGCTTTGCCGATGATCTGGGAGCCATCAATCAGGTACATATAACTTGAAACTGTAGCTCTCATTTATAGTTAATGTACCTATCTGTTTTTCTTTTCTTTTCCCTTCTTTCCTCTCTTGCCAGGCTAATATTTTAGTTATTACCTTATGTCTAATATATGTGAGTAATATTACTGCCTACCAAAATTACAGAAAGATACTTTCAGAAAACAGTTTTGAAAATAAAACCACTTTATAATCCTTACTTGCATATATGTGCCAAAGATGCTGTTGGTGACAGCAAAAGAGTGCTTAGATGAATGGCTTTAAATTCATCCAGGCAGGCAGCAAGTTTCTAAAGCAAAGTGAAAGAAAAGTAAACTGGGGAGGATTCTAAATGGAGAGTAGTCCTTAACCAGTATTTTTCATTCCTCATTGCTTATGAAAATCATCTGGCTAACTTTTAAATATCCTATTGCCAAGTCGTATGCCAATCCTATTACATAGGAGTCTCTGAATTTGGAATTCTGGTATTGGTATGGTTAGAGCACTTCAGGTGATTTCAATATGCAACCAAGCTCGAGGAACACTGCTCTAAGCCCTTCTATCTGTGGAAAGTCTTCTATATCACTGGTGACAAATGTGTAGAAGGAACATAAATCATTCCCATATTTTAATGTTCACACTGGTTTATTACATGTATTCCATTTGATAGCTCATTTAATATTTTTATCATTTCTGTAGTCAAAGTCACAAAGGAAATTAGAGACAGGTAGAAATGTCTTGGTAAAGAGAAATAACTTTAATAAAATATTGTATATACATATAATTTAAACAATTTTTAACGAAGTACTGACATCTAATGACATAGTCTAAAAATATTATACAATCTAATTGAATTTGATGTTTGACATGGTGTATCTAGTAAGCAAATTTTCAGTTGACTACCAAATGTAAACTCTCTTAAGAGCTCTGTTGGATTTTTTAAAAAAGTCATTTTCGGCCGGGTGCAGTGGCTCACACCTGTAATCCCAGTATTCTGGGAGGCCAAGGGGGCGGTGGATCACAAGGTCAGGAGATCGAGACCATCCTGGCTAACATGGTGAAACCCCATCTCTACTAAAAGTATAAAAATAAAAAATTAGCCGGGCGTGTTGGCGGGTGCCTGTAGTCCCAGCTACTCGGGAGGCTGAGGCAGGAGAATGGTGTGAACCTGGGAGGCGGAGGTTGCAGTGAGACAAGATCGTGCCACTGCACTCCAGCCTGGATGACAGAGCGAGACTCCATCTCAAAAAACAAAAACTCGTTTTTACTGTTGTTGAGGAGAAAAAAGTAAGCTATATTGATTAATTGAAAAAGAGCAAAGTGTTAGAATGTATGATGCTTTTTGTAGACGTTCCAAGATCAAGGAACTGACCATAGTAGGTTGCAGGTCCCTGAAAATAATTTACAGAAAAGGAAGTACTTGAAAAATGCCTTTGAATTGAATAAGCAGAGGATAACTGAATGTAGAGGCATTAGGATGTTATTTAACCAAGAGATGCTAAAGATTCTGGGGAAACAAGGTGAAGTCTTAGCGTTTAACAATAGGAAGCAATGTGGAAAGTGAGTTTAATTGAATTCAGTTGTTTGGAGGATATCAGTAAGTGCAGAAAAAATGATTTATATATTCTCATTTAATTTTCACAATAGCTCCATGAAGCAGTTACAATTTTCACATACTTTATAGATAAGAATACAAAACATTAGAGTGGTGAAGTAGCTCGACCAAGACTGAAGAAAGAGCATATGCTAAAGCCATAATTCAAACCCAGATGTTCTGACAGTTAAGATACTTTAAAATAATAAGAAGAAAAATAGCAATAATACAACAACAATAACTAGTGTTTGGCAGGTTTATGTTGTTGAATTCTGTTTGCTTGTATTTTGCTAAGGAGTTTTGCGTTGGCCAAAGGACAGTATATTTAATAATTGATGCCAGGAAAACTGGATATCCATATGCAAAAGAACAAAACTATATTTCATTTTTTTATCATATACAAAAATCAAATTAAAATGGATTAAAATCTTAAATGTAAGATCTCAAGCTTTGCAACTACTAGAAGAAAACTGGGCAAGTGCTGTAGGACATTGGCCTGGACAAAGATTCTTTTGGGTAAGACCTTAAAAACACAAGGAATGAAAGCAAAAATAGACAAATGAGAATATATCAAGGCAAAACGCTTCTTCACAGGAAAGGAAACAATTAGCGAAGTGAAGAGAAAACCCACAAAATGGAAGAAAATATTTGCAAACTAGCTATCTGACAAAACCAGAATATATAAAGAACTCAAACAACTCAATACCAAGAAAACAAACAATCTGAATTAAAAAGGGGCAAAATACCTGATAGATATTTCTCAAAAAAAGACATACAAATGGCTAGCAGGCATATGAAAAAAATAAAAAAATAAAAAATAAAAAGCTCAACAGTACTCATCATCAGGGAAATGCAAATAAAACCACAATGAGATATCATCTCACTCCAACTAGAATTAAAAAAAAACAAAAAGTAACAAATGTTAGTGAGGATTTGGAGAAAGGGAAATGCTCATAGGAGTGTAAAGTAGCATAACCATTATGGAAAACTGTGGACATTCCTTGAAAAATCTAAAAATAGAACTACCGTATGATCCAAGAATCCCACTGCTGGCTATATGTCCAAAAGAAAGGAAAGAGGTATCAGACTCACATGCTCACAGTAGCCAAGATACGAAATCAACCTAAGTGTCCATCACTAAATGAATGAAGAGAATTTGGTGTATATGTGTGTGTGTGTGTGTGTGTGTGTATATATATATATGAATATTATTAAACCATAAAAAGAATGAAATCTCATCATTTGCAGAGCATGGATGGAACTGTAGGTGATTATATTAAGTGAAATAGGCCAGACATAGAAAAACAAATATTGTATGTTCTCACTCATATGTAATGGGAGCTAAAGACATGGATCATATAAAGGCAGAGAGTAGAATGATGGTTACCAGAGGCACGGAAGGGAAGAGAAGTTGGTTAATGAGTATGGAAATACTGTTAGAAGCAATAAGTTCTAGTATTTAATAGTACAGTTAGTGAATTTTAGATATCGTTAATTATAACTAAATATAATTGTAGAAATTATAACTTGTTTTATATTTCAAAATAACTAGAAGTGAAGAATTGTAATGTTTCTAACATAAAGAAAAGATAGATGTTTGTGGTGATAGATATCCCAATAACCCTGATTTGATAATTATGCATTGTATATATGTATGAAAATATCTCATTTACCCCCAGTATATGTACAACTCTGACATGTCAAGTAAAAATGCATAAAAATATTCATTTAAATTCTGTGCATTCTACTATGTGTAAACTATACCTCAACTAAACTATAGTTTTTGAAACCTTAACACATTTTTGAACCAAAAGTAAATACAATTTTTCTCATTGCTTTTATACTCAGTGTTTTAGCTCACTTTAAAGACTTTATTTCTCTGTCAATATAATGAATGCTAAGATCTTACTAAGAACTTTCTGAAGAATAGTTTTAGTTTTTAATGATATAAACTTTTCTAAGTAGTCACTAATTCAAAAAATGATTGTGTATGTATATATATGTAAATCATATTGTACTCTATGTAAGTCTGATTGAATTTCTAAGGTATTTGATGGCGGAAGATAGATCTGTTTAATAAAGATTAATGGATGGTTCAATAATAATTATTATCATAAATATTTACTGAGAAGCCTTATGTGTCAAACACTATTCCAAACATTTCATAGTCCTCCAAATATTTTGCGCATATTTTTGTTTGAAATATATAGCGATTAATTTTAATTTTATGTCATTTAATTCTCCTAACTACACTAGTAATTTGTATTATTCCCATTTTACAAAAGAGGGCAATTAGGATTAGGGAGTTTAAGTAGCTGGTCCACTGTCATAGGAAGTACAGCACCAGTTTGTCGAACCCACAAAGTCTGACTCCAGAATCTAGAAGATAAAATATGGACTAATTTCTGTTACTGACGAACCATGTCAGTTATTTGTATTTCACTAACACCATTTTATTTAATTTGTCTCATGCAACTGGTATGTGTGTTGTCTCACCTACTTTTTAGCAGGATAAGTAAAGTAGATATTTGTGTTAAGTTTAACACGTTTTTTATGTATATTCTGTGACCATTGAATCAGATTTTTGAAAGGTGGTTTTGTTGCCTCTTATCCTAGTATCCTTTCTCTAGCTGTGTTCCTTTGAATGTCATTTTCTTGGGTCTTGTTGAAATTATTTACGCAATGCTGAGGATAAAAGTTTCCTAATACCTTCTCAAATGTGTATTTTGGATTTCCCCCTTCATTGCCTTTTCTTTATCAATATGTGTCCAGAATTGGTGGGTTCTTGGTCTCACTGACTTCAAGAATGAAGTCGTGGACCCTCACGGTGAGTGTTACAGTTCTTAAAGATGGTGTGTCCGGAGTTTGTTCCTTCAGACGTTCAGATGTGTCTAGAGCTTCTTCCTTCTGGTGCGTTCATGGTTTTGCAGACAGGAGTGAAGCTGCAGACTTTTGCAGTGAGTGTCACAGCTCTTAAAGGCAGCACATCTGGAGTTGTTTGTTCTTCCCGGTGGGTTCTTGGTCTCATTGGCTTCAGGAGTGAAGCTGCAGACTTTCGTGATGAGTGTTACAACTCATAAAGGCAGTGTGGACCCAGCGAGTGAGCAGCAGCAAGATTTATTGCAAAGAGTGAAAGAACAAAGCTTCCACAGTCTGGAAGGGGACCCAAGCGGGTTGCCGCTGGTTGGCCCAGGCAGCCTGCTTTTATTCCCTTATCTGGCCCTGCCCACATCCTGCTGATTAGTCCATTTTACAGAGAGCTGATTGTTCTGTTTTGACAGAGTGCTGATTAATGCGTTTACAGTCCTTGAGCTAGACACAGAGTGCTAGACAGAAAAGTTCTCCAAGTCCCCACTAGGTTAGCTAGATACAGAGTACCAATTGGTGTATTTACAAACCTTGAGGTAGACACAGAGT